GTAACCAGACCGCTCGCCATCCCCGTGTAGCCCAGCGCCCACTGCAATGCTGCTCTTTGCGGGGAGGCAGGGGCTCTCCAGCCCCGCTGTCCTGCTTCCCAGCTCCCCGCAGGCATCTCCCCTTCCCGGCAGGGATGTGGGAAGCGGTGCTCCCATCCCATGCCCTCAGCCAGGCACAGCGGAGCAGCAGCCCCAGTGCAGCTCCATGCTGCGGGGGCAGAAATGGCTTTGCAAAGCGTTTTTTTTAAGCAGAGAAACGCAGAGCACACGCAGCGACGGATTCCTGCCCCGATGGGGCACGCACACGGCTTCATCCTTTCAGACCTGCAGCGAGAGCCACCGAGCTGGCAACATCCCCAAAAATAGCTGCTGCGGGAAGAACAGGGAATGCTGCAGGGACATGGCCACAGTTCCCGGGGTTCTGCGCTGGAGGGTCCCCCCAAGCCTCTGCCTGCACAGCAGGAACCTCACCCAGGCTGTAGCAAGGAGGAGCTTTGCTGTCCTCCCCCATCACACAGGTCTGAGCCTGCCACCGGGGCCCAGAGAACGCAGGATGCTGCAGGGAAGTGCTTTAATTTAAACCATGCACTTATTTTTCGGGGGGAGTTGTGGTGTGTTTTTTTTTTTAATCGCATAATTACTGCAGACATTTCTGCTCATGTTAGGTTTTATTACATCTTTGTGGTTATTCTACAAGCCCTAAATTTTGGGCCTCAACTGAGTTGGCAAAGTTCACCATAAACATCTGTCCCGAGTTACTCCCCTTCCAGCGCTCCGGCAGAAAGCTGGCGGCTGAAGATGTTGCAATGCAGAGTTTTATTTGCAACAGAAAAAGTTCTTATTCCTGACCCAAACAGAAGTGTAAATATTTACTGCCTTGATGTCAGCACTGCCCCCCCCCCCAACCTGTGGGTCCCAACAGACACCCAGGCACTCGTCCATCCTCCTCCAGAAAACAGGATGTCTGTCCCCAGGCACATCACCTCTCAAGCATGGGGCAGTGGCACGCAGGAGGCTCAACGCCTGCTCTGTCACAGCAAAGAGCCCGTCAAAATCCCCCGTGCAGGCAGAGGGACACCCATTCTCCCACTGTTTGCAGTTCTCACCAGCGGCAACGCTAAGGGTGACACTGTCCCTCCCTGAGCAAGGGCTGGTTAACAATCTGCCACGAATTCCCCACATTAAAATTTCTGGACCCAACAGGCTGCTTGAATTCAGGAGCTACCAAACAAGAGGTGGGTTTGTTTTACAAAAAAAAAAATAAGCGCTGGTTGTAAAAGTCCCTTTGCACACCCACCCCACCCCCAGTCGTGCTTTGGTGTGACTGGAGCAGCGATGGAGGAGAACTGCATCACCCCAAACACATCTCAGTGACTTTACTGTTGTTCTTGTTTCTCCTACAAACACACCTGGAGAAAGCAGTGAGGCAGCAAGTCCCAAGGACGTCGCTAACGTGGCTCACGAACCCTGCGTGGCTCTAACAGGGGTCCAGTAACACCACATCGCTCCCACCACGCAGCAGGAGCCGGGGGCAGCCGAGCTGCAGCCGCTGCCGGCGAAGGCGCTGGCAGCCCCGGGCCATACTGCCTGCGCACCACTTTTTTCGAGGGTGGCTAGTAGCACCCAGGGGCCGCTAGCCCTGAGCCACACTGCCTGTGCACCACGAGTGCATCCAGGACGGCCAGCAGCATCCAGGCGAGCACCCGGCAGCACCGCTCAGCACCAGCCCGGCCCCGCAGCACACTTGCCTTTTACAAGCTTTTAGCCCAGGCATTTAATTAACAGCCACCCGCTGGCTCACACCGCTGTCCCAAAGGCACCTTGGCTATAAAAGCAGCTCACCACCAGACACCCGATGCACCCAGAGCGGCCCCTGCCATGCTGAGACCCCCTCTGCCCCCCAGCACAGCCCTGCCTGCTGCCCCCAAAACCCCTGAGGATTCGATGCTGGGTGCCCAGCAGAGCCAGAGACCCAGGGAAAAGCAGAAAACAGCTCGGTGGCATGTTTGGCACATGGGGACACGTGTCCTGCTGCATCCCCTCCCAGGGGACACAGCATCGGGGACAGGCAGCGAGCAGGCAAACCCCTTCAGTGCAGGCAGGCACGGACCTGGGTGGGATGGGGCAAAGCAGACCCTGCTCCCCGTGTCACCACGGCCACGCAGGACACGAGTCCCCTGGGTGCCCAGGGACGGCAGCGGTGTGACGGGCGCTGCTGCTGGCAGCCGGCCCTGCCGACCTGCTCCCGGGGCAGGCAGCCTGATTTTAAATACGTGCTGAATTATTCATGGCATTAACCGTGGTTCCTGGAGCATAAGGTCCTGGACACCGGGTCTCTGCCAGGGGTGCGTGTTGACCTCCCCACTCAGGGCAGCTCTCCAGGGGGGAGTCACTCTTGCACAATAAGAAAAGGGGAGACTCATTCCTCTTGCTCACCCTTCCCTCCGCATTTTCCCCCCAAAACGGCCACCCCAGGTGCCAGATTTCCCTCCTCTTTGTTTCAGTTGCTCATTTCTTCAGGCTGAGCTGAGCAACCTGGCCTCAAATCAAGGAAAACTGCAGCCTTTGCATAAACAAATGCTGCTCAAAACTGAAATGCTGCTCCCCGGGAGCAGCCCGGAGCATCGGCACCAGTTCCCGCAGGGGCAGGTTGGGGCCAGGGGTCTGCAGTGGGAAGGGGGCTGCCTTTTATCCTCCTTCACTAAATGCCTCCAGTGAAGCTACACAAAAGCCCCAAATCTGGTTGGGGACAAGCCTCTAACTGGACCCAAGCTGCAGGGACAGAAGTCTCCCAAAAAGACCCCTGCACTCAGGAGCTGTGCACCCCACATGGGCCCAGTACTGGTGACCTGCAGGATTAGAGTCAGGCTAGAGCCACCCCATGGAGGGACACAGCGCTGGAGGGCTGAGCCCTGCAGGAACTGGGGTGCACCACTGCTCCTCCAGCCATTTTGGACCTAGGAAGACAGCTGCATCACCCAGACCAAGAGCTTGGAGCAGGTACTACTGCCTTGAAGTGAGCAGGACCGCAAGGCACAGGAGCAGGGATGCAAAGTCCTGCTGCTCCGGCCACCCTTGAACCTACAGCGGGGTCACTCATGGCCCCGACACAAAGGAGTGACCTTGGCCAGGAAAGCCTGCAGCACCCAGCTCTTCAAAGAGCTGCCTCCCGCGGAGGCAGGAGCAAACCAGCCACTGACCTGAGCCTCTGCGAACACCCAACACGCTCAGCTCTGCCCACTCTACCCCCTGTCCCCAAACCCCACGTGGTGGACATCACCCCTGGAGTCTGTTCCCCTTGTTCAGCTCAGGCTCCACCAAACACTGGCTCCGGCACAGCGAGCACCAAATCCCCCAGCCATGCTGCCCCAGGTGAAGCCCCCAGCCAAACCCCCCCAAGCCCTCTGAGGGGAAGCGCGGGCACTTCTCCCCCCTCGCACCCCAGCTCTGCCCGTCCCACCCTCTCCTTGGAGGAGCTGAAACCCAAAGGCCGGAAAGGACCGTCCTGTTCCCCTCGCCTGACTTCCCGTCAGCACACGCTGTTGGATTGCACCCAGCAAACGAAACAGAGACAGGAGAGGAAATCCCCAGCTTGGAAAGCAGCCCCCGGCCATGCCCAGCCACCCCCCTCCCTCCTGGGAACGGCTCCTCTCCCACCGGCCGTCCTGGGGGTGACCAGCTCCCCGCTGCACCGACCCCCAGGGGAAATGTACCCATCATCATCACACAGACCTTCAAACAGCTTCAAATCATGCAATAAATAAATAATAAAAAAAAAAATATATACTGCCTTCACCCCTGCCCCAGAAAAGGTGGGTTCCTCCCAGGATAGCAAAACCTCTGCAAGATGCCAAACAGCTCTGGAGGAAGGACCGGAGGTGAGACCCCCTCCTTATCGCTGGAGATGCACGTGCCTCCTGCCTAGTACCAGCATCGCCTCTTATCTGCACTGGGGAAGTTCTTCAGCTGTCACTCCACGGGGGCTCCCGAGGACACAAAGCCTTCCCAGCTTTCCCATTTATGCCCTCCCAGCAGCCCCACAGCCATTTTGGGGCCAGTATCCAGCCACCACCCCACCTCCGAGGGGACAGAGACCAACCAGCCCCTGCAAGCTCCCCAGGGAAGAGGAGGAGGAGTACGCCCATGACAGCTCTGTGCTGGAGAAGGCGATTGAGCAGCAGTGCTCCCTGCCCGGCAGCACAGACCAGCACGCACGGGAGGGCTGCAGGTTGGGGACATGGAAGGGAAGGGGACAGATGCCTGCAGAGAAGTGCCGGAGTCACCAGCTCGGCCACGCAACACCCGCACCGTTCCTGCCACGTTCGCTCCCCGAGCAAGGGCAGCGCCAGGACCCAACTCCGCTATCTGCCGAGCGCAAGGCTGCGCCGTCTCCACCAGCCCGGCCCCAGCAGCGAGGCAGCCATGGAAACTGGACAGCTTCCACCCCAAATTCTTTCCTTTTTGGAAAGGAGTTTACCAATAAAAGGCACTTACTGCAGAATCACAGTCCAGACCCAGGCCACTTGAAAAAGAGCTAATTTCCTTCCTATTTAAGCAAAAAGCTGAGAACACATTCGCCCCAGATGTTCCCTCCCTCCTGCAAATAATGGAGGAGAGAGAAGCTCATTCATGAGCTCCAGCTTCACCACGTCCCCGGTCTGTGCAGCCTGTCCCTGTAGGGGAGTAAGACCCAGGCTGTGTCACCCGTGCCCAGGGCTGGTGACACCCCACCGACCCCCTCTGTCCCATCTCCCCAGCAGCTCCCAGGGCTGAGACCCTCGACGGGCGCAGAAGGTGGGAGAACAGCTCAGCCCCCCCCACCAGCCGATGCTGTTTCAAGCAAGAACAAATAAGGCCAAGGGGTAGCTCGCCTACTGCTTCGGGACACAGTGGGGTCCGACAGTCACGTACAGAAGGTTTTCCTCCGATGGGAAGCAAGCACCCACTCGCTCTCCGCCTCCGCGCCCAGCAGCCCCGCGCGCCACAGGCTCTGCCCTCACCTTCCTGCTGCCGTGCGAGGAGAAGCTGTGTGAGTGCCGCTGGAGGCTGTCCCCGCTCAGATCCAGCTGTGGCTTCCAGACCTCCCCGTTGTCACTGCCCATTGACTTGGTGGGTGAAACGCTGGCGCTGTGCGCCATCTCCTCCGTGCACGTCAGGCGCAGGCTGCACAGGTACTCGTCCGTCTCCTTGTCTACCACGAGCAAGCGGGTCTCCGTCTCCACGGCTTTGATGCGCTGCACAACCTGGAAAGGAGAAGAACAACTGAGCAGAAACCCAGGGACCTCTCGGGGTGGCAGGAGCTGCACCCAAGGAGCCTCAACTCTCCCATACTCTCCTGCAGCTTCAGCCTTGCTGCAGGGTACAAGTTTGCCATCTCTTCCAGCCATCAGTGCTGGGGGAGAAGGGCACAGCATGGCTCTAGGGAACCCCCAGGATGGAGTGCCTGTTGCCTACAGCTCCAGGTGATGAAGGTGATGGCTCTTTCCACCCCGTGCCCTACAACCCACATGACGGCTCTGCCCAGACCACCCGGGATCATCCCCTCTGCTCAGACAGGAGCTTTCCCAGAGGCTGCTCCATTGCCCCCCTCCCAGAGCATCAGTAAACCCTGCTGCCTGGTTTTGTCCCTCAGAATGACAATACAATCAGTCCCACCAAGCAAAGCATCTTGCACACCCTCATTTCCTTGATTTGGGGTGGGGGTGGGGGGTCTTTCTTCCCCCTCACCCAGTGCAGGGTGGAGTGCCAGGGCACACAGGGAGGCACCCATGCATGCATTGGGTGGCTGGGCTGCCTCTGCTGGGTGCTCCCCACCACACCAGCGTACCGAAACCACCCAATCTGCGCGTTCATCCCCGGTCTGTGCCAGAAGCCAGCAGAGATAAGGGAAACCAATGCTGGGAGCAGGAGATGGGCCCATCCCTGCTGGGATCCCACTCCAGGCAGCGCTGAATGGGGACCATTGTCCTGCCGATGCCCAGCTCCTTCGTGGGGACTGGTGACTGGCAGAGGCTCTGAAAGGAGCTTGTGGTGTCGGCACGGCGAGGAGAGCCGGGAGGAGCTGATCCCAGCCACGGGGAGGGTAAATCACACCAGGGTAGGCTGTGATGGAAACGGGGCAGACCCAGGACACGCACAGGAGCGGTGTAAAGGGAAACCACCTCCAGCCTCCCTGCCAGCAGCCTCAGAGGGCTTGGCCACCTCCTCCCTGCACAGGCCTTCATCCTGAAGAGGAGGGAGGGTTGGTATCTCTGGCCATGCTGCTCAGCAGCCATCCCCAGCCACGGGGTGGCCCTGAGGACCACAAACCCATGACCCCCCCCCCCAGGTGTGCTGGGAAAACCCTGAAGCAGCACTGGGCTTCCTTACAGGGCTCCTGCCCTCATCTAGGTCACGCCAGCCAGACACACTGCAACCACCAAGGTTATAAGTGACAAATGAGCCTAATGCGCAATTAGCTAGCATTTATTTACTCCCCTGCAAGCTCCATTCAAGGTCAACAGAGCCGGTATCTGCAAATGTTAAAAAAAAAACAACCAACCAACAAGAAATTTATAGACTGCAGACAAGGCTGCTTGTCCTGAACCAGCTAATCTACTGCAGGCTGCAGCCTCCGTCTCCACACGCCGCATCGGGCAGCAGCTCGCCGAGGGCTACCATCCATAACCAGCCCAAAGGGTGCTATTCCATCAAGCCCCAGAAAATCCATCTGCTCCCTTTCAGATCTATTTACATGCGACATCAGACAGTGCTGCCGATAGCGTCAAGGCAGGGCCTGTGCGAGGCCACTTCTCCCCGGGGGGACCCGGGAGCAGGCAGCCGATGCGCAGCGGTGGCAGGAGATGCAGATGGGCAATGCCTGCGGGGACCGTGCAGGGGAAAAACGCTGGGTCCCGCACAGCAACATCTCCCAGGCCCCGCAGTTTGGGTGCTCCAGGCGTTAGGGCAGCACAGTTAGTTGCTGGCAGGGAACAAGGTCCCACAGGCACAATGAAACGCAGAGGGACCGCAGAAGCGCCCCGACCCACCACGGTGCTGCACAGCACTGGCATGGCAGGATGGGCGAGCTGCCCCACAGCCGGTGGGGAGCAGTGCTGGGGCTTAGCCCGCTGCCGAGCTCCCCAACAGCCATGGCAAGAGCAGCGATGGAGCAAGCATCCCCCCAGTGCCAGGGGCTGAGCCAGGCAGGGATGGAGAGCAGGCACAGAGCAGCACCTCACCTTCTCCCCACTAGCAGAGACGAGCAGAAGGGGCTTTCTGTGACAACCTGTTCAGGCAGCAAGTCGCTCTGGGGATAGAGGAGCGAGGTGGAAGGGAAAGCAGCAGCCAGGCACATGGCAAGGTCCTGCCCCAGGAGGGCAGAGCCCGGCACCCTACCCGTTTCCGAGCCATGGTCACAGCCTCGAGTCCGCAGCTCTTCTGAAGACAACACAGCCTCCCCTGTGCATCCGGCACATCGGGACCTTCTCAGCACCGGTCCCAGTCGCATGATTTCCGCAGCTCCACCCAAACAGACTTTCACCCCCGGCTACCGCAGCACCAGCCCAGCAGAGCCAGCCCGGGCCCTTCCACCCTTGCCAAACAACAGCTGCCCGGGACAGAGACTCACGGTGCCACTGGGAACAGCTCAGTCCATCCCTCCCTCTCTGAAAGAGATGCTTCTGCCCATGCATTGCACTGCCAGCAAGGTCACGGAGGCTTTCCCCACTTCGGGCACAGCGGGAGGGCAGGAGCCCGCTGCTCTGCCCCACACACCCACCGCCCGCCGGGGCGAGGAACCGAGCAGCCGGGATGGAATTCTACATCCAAGACATGAAACGCCCTGAGAACACATTCTGCCTTCGCTCCTTGGGTAAGGCCAGGAAAAAAAACAGAGAACAAAGACACAAATGCCGCCAGCTTCAGCTCGAAACACAGTTACACCCAAACAGCAAGGCCTTGTTTGCTGCGGGCTCTGTCCCACCGCAGCTTCAGATGCTCACGGAGAAGCGCTACTTATTCAAGGTCGGGGACCTCAGCAGCACAGGGATGAAAGGCCATGGCAAACCGGCCGCTCTAATCCATCAGCAGGAGCCAGCATCTGACCCGCCATGGCATCATCCTTCCCACAGTCCATCAGTGCGCTGTATTTTGGGGGAGGGGAAGATGCTCTTGCTGTTTTGAGGCAGCAGGGTTGATCCCAGAGGGTGTCCTGGAGCAGGGCTGCTCCTGCTCACACACCACTAATGCCACCACAGGGGGAACGCAGCACGGCTGTGAGCTCCACGACACCCTGGGTGAGACACTCCGTCCCATTCCCTGCTCTGCAGCAGGGAGCAAGTGCCAGGGCTGAATCCTGCCTCCACCAGCAGAAAATGGAAGACAGGAAAATTTCTCCCATTTTACATGACCTACTGGAAAACCCCCGCACGCTTCAAAGACGCAGCTGGCTGCCTCAGCTCTGCTATCACCCATCCTCAGCATCCTAGTTTCAGCAGGGAGTTCCGATAGCTTCCAATACAACACAGCTCCTTACAGGAACGCAGCCCTCCTTTCTGCCCAGCCAGATAAAAGATGTGGATCCTCCTTCAAGGGTTTTGCAATCACATTCAAGACAAACATTAACTTTTACACAGCTGGTGCAGATCATCAAAACGGGCTCAGTTAGCCACAAAACCCTCCCAAGCCCACGGAAAAGAGTCCACGAGGTTTCATTGGAGCCACCTGGGCTTGCTGTGATGCCCTGGAAGGCTCTGCCTCACCTTGAGCACAGCAACATCCACACCTGCCCATGAAGCCCAGGATCCCGCATCCCCCAAAACACTGCTGGGTCCGCAACCTATGTGAGGCACATCCCTGCTCTGCCCTGATAAAGCGCTGGCAGCTGGGTCCAGCCATATGTTTTAAGTTACTAAAGCACTAAGCCCCACAGAGCCCCACGAGCCATTAGGCAAACGGGCACATTCGGCACTGTGCCCCCGCCAGGCTCCGAGTCTCCCGCGGGACAGGAGCAGCCAGAACCTCCTTGCTTGTTTTTTCGGACTAAACTGTTTAACAAACACAAGTTTCAGTTTTATAAGCAGAAAATGACATGGCCTGAAGTGTGCGGCTTCTGTTACAGAGCTGAGAAACAGCTCGCTTGGATCCCCCCAAGTCACAGCCGTGGTCTTGCAACAGCTATTATTTCCCTTCAAGTCCTATCTCACTACAGCCAGCCAAACTGCTGAACATCTGCAGAGCTTTATCAGTAGATTTTAAGGCATCCTTATACACTCCAGGCTGCATAAGCAGGAGCAGCTCACTCAACGTGGCCGAGAAAACACACAGCAGAGCCGGAAATAAAGCCCAGGTCTCCCCATTCCTTTCCACCACAGATTGTAACGAAGCGGTGCCCTGCCCATGCCGAAACACCTTCGCCTTTCCCACCTTTACACGATTACAACATCCTTTCCCCAGCAGAGAGACAGAGCACACCACGCAACCGTTCTCATGGGAACTTGATGTCCCAGGCACGCAAAGCCCCCCCACTACAGCCCAGGCCTAGGATTTTGGCCAGGGGAGGGGGAGCACCCACCCCACCCCAACGACCACCAGCACTGGCCAGACCAAGGATGCTCCAGCACAGATATTTTGCGAGAAAACCCAAACCCCAGGGAGGCTGGAGCCGGGAAGAGCAAAACCGGGGGTGGGGTGGGGGAGAGAAGCTCAGAGCCGGAGGTGCTCAGCCCTCGGGGGGTGAGGGGGTACCGCGATCAGTTGCCCACCCTGCCCACCCCATTGCCCGCACCTGGTGGTGCGTCTCCTGCTCCACGTTGAGCCCGTTCACCTCCACGACGCGGTCCCCGGCCC